TTACTTACTTACTTACTTACTTACTTACTTACTTACTTACTTCTTCTTCTTCTTCTTCTCTCTCTCTCTCTCTCTCTCTCTCTCTCTCTCTCTCTCTCTCTCTCTCTCTCTCTCTCTCTCTCTCTCTCTCTCTCCTCTAAGCAAAGTGCATACTGCTACTTCCTTGGTTGACCTGCACCTTTCAAAAGAAGAAGAGGATAAGCGTAATGACTAAATAAAAGATGGAGCAGCAGATAGCCACTCCGTTTATGCCAGCCCCGGCCGTAACATCGGTATGGTCTCGTGGCAAAGTTCATTTCACACACCAATGTTGCATGGCCAGTACGATAAAATCGCGACAATTATATCTGTTCTTATATGTACGAAATTTGTCGGTTAAAAAAAACATATTTTGATAAAAGCTTGGACTTAAGATATGAATATGTTGTTTTTTAATTGGGACATTTATAATTTTTAAAATCAAATTTTTTTCTTATTTTTAATTTCACTTAAAATTTGATACTTTGGATAATTAGATTGATTTCTTTTGATATTATTTTATCTATGATTCTTATTTAGATTTGCAAGATTTTATTGAAGATAAAACTTCTCTAAAACTAAAAATTTAAATTTGAGTCAAAGGTGTGTCTTAGATTTATCGTGACAAATATCTTTATCAAATATCTTTATTTCATGACACAATTAAGAGTGTATTACAATATTATTATTATAATATTTTTTATGGATTAAATATTTGATTGAACGCAAAATTCATTTCGCATTTTTAAATCCAAGATTTCAATTTTTCATTTAGAGAATGAATATAATTTTATCTGGGTATTTATACTGTATGTTTCAAGAGGAGAAGTCGCACAAATGTAATACTGTATACAAATGTAAATACCATAATTATTATGTACAATTTTTTTATTATTGTATATTTGAAAAAAAATATTAGCAAAGTTTACATACTTGTAGATCGGAACTGATCGAGAATGCAATAAAAGTGTATCAGTAACGTGAACAAAAACCATGTGAACCAAAACCATGGCGCTCGCGACTATTAAATCAGATAAAGGCTGGGCGAAGCTGCGATAAGTTACAAACAGCCTTTCGTTCTCGATTGCAAAGTTTTACTCATTTCACCGCTTTGATCATTCGCCGTTACAGTCGAGACTTTCTTAATAAATTACTCAGAGACGATATGCGAGTGTCCTCTCGAGGGAGCTTGCTTCTCCATCGGCTGAATCTTGCTAGGAAGATGTGAGATGAAGGGAAGGGGACAAAATCGGGTCTGTGTTTGTGAAAAAAGGACCTGGAGGAGGATACTACACGGAGAAAATGAAACGAATGGAGGAACGTGACGGTACACGCATTTCCGGGCTGTCGTTCACGTCGTTTGCGCGAAGAAAGTGGAATTGCCGCGGGTGCAATGCGCGCGGGCGAAAACGGGAACAAAATGAAAAAAAAGAAGAAGAGAGCGAAAACGAAATCGCTCGAAGGATCACAGACTGCTAATTAAAAAAAAAAAAAAACTCGGTGTTACGACGCCCCTGCTTGCTCCCGCGTAAAAGGGGCGCCGTGCTCCCCTTTTCGCGAGGCAGCCGCGTAAGAAACCTTTCGCCTCCTTCCTTTCATTTCCCCATCGGCCTACCACCCCCTTTCGTTCGCCACCCTCTAATGCGCGCCACATACCTCTTTCATCCAATAGCCAATGAGTTACGGGAATTCTACTCTCTTTTTCCGAGGAACTTTGTGTGCAGTTTCTCTTTCCTTTCACACGCTCATACGGATGGAAAGAGAGGGAGGATCTAAAAATATAGGGATAACGTGGCAAAGAGAACACGTGTATGTTACGTTATCTTTTTCACAGCTTCTATCCTCGAAGAAGGGGAACGTAAAAAAACGTTCTTCCTTTAGAATCCTTTTGAAGGGAAATCCCTTAAACCGATTATTAATAAAAACAGCATATCATTTTTGTGCAAAATCTTAACGTTGACTATTGCATATGTCAGATGTGTATTGATTTTATCTATATGAAACACAATTATGAATAAAACTTTACTTATTGTATAAAAATTTGAAAAACTCAAAGAGAATTTGAGTAATTACTGATACTATTTTCAACTTAAGATATCCAGGAGCCTAAAATTAATAATGAGAATTTTAAACTAATGAGATTTTTTTCTAAAATATTTAAGATCAATAAAGATAATAACATAAAATATGAAATTTAATAAAAATATTTTGTAATTTTGTAATTTTTTAAATTAATTTTAATAAATTTAACAATTTTTTTGCTTAGATTTTTTTGTGTACGGGAGTTTTTAATGCTTTTTTATTTTTAATATTATGAAAAATATATATTTTATATTTCTCTATTAATGGTAACTGCTTGTAAATCTTAGAAGAAGCACGTATAGGGAGCGAGAAATGAATCAACTTTAAGGAACCTTCAAGAGCCAATTAAATCGTTATTCGCAAATTAAGTTTCGTAATTATGAGTGGGCTTTAGGAAGTGAACGCGTAAAAGGGTTGGTCGGTAGATTGCAACTAAGGTAGCTCAAACTTTACAACTTTTCAGTTGCTTTTCATACAACTTTT